AATGCTGATTCAACAGAGACATATAAGGCCAGATATAGGCCTTAGGATATAGTCAAAAGGCAGGAATAGATTACAAAGAAACATTTTCTCCAACAGCTGACATGACTTCTGTAAGCACATTAATGCAGCTTGCTGCACAGAATGACTTACAGTTGCATCAGATGGATGTAAAAACAGCGTATCTGAATGCTCCCATTGACTGTGAAATGTACATTGAGCAACCTGAAGGCTTTGAAATCAAGTCTTACACGGGTAAAAAGCTTGTGCGTCGGTTGAAAAAGTCCTTATATGGTCGAAAGCAGTCTGGGCGGAACTGGAACAAAATGCTGCATGATTGTCTTTGTAAAAACGGTTTTATACAGAATGAAGCAGATCATTGTGTCTACAGTAAACAAACAAAATATGGACAAATTCATCTGTTAATCTGGGTTGATGATCTCCTTATTGCATCAAAGGATACAAAGTCACTTGAAGAAGTGAAAGACATGTTAACAAAAATGTTTAAGATGAAAGATCTTGGTAATTTAAAAACGTTCTTGGGTGTTGATTTTACACAGAAAGGAGAGATAAAGATGAACCAAACGAGATTCATGACAAAAATATTGGAAAGATTTGGTATGTCTGACTGTAAAGCTAGATCTACTCCATGTGAACAAAAGATGCATTTTGATGATGAAGGTGACTCCGTTGATGCAAGAAGGTATCGTGAAATGGTCGGCAGTTTGATCTACGTAATGACTTGTACAAGGCCTGACATATGTTGGATTGTTAGTAAACTTTCCCAGTATCTGTCTAAACCCAAAGAGCAACACTTAACAGCTGCAAAACATGTGTTAAGATACCTAAAAGGGACAATAAATCAAGAGCTGTGTTATACAAAAAGTGAAGGACAGCTTAAACTTGAAGCTTCAGATCGCACCGACAGATGCAGCACTACAGGTTATTGTTTTAGCTTAAATAAAAGTGGCTCTATCTCATGGAGGACCAAGAAACAGCAAAGTGTTGCGTTATCAACATGTGAAGCAGAATATATAGCTCTAGCTGCCACAGTACAGGAAAGTTTATGTCTTTTGCAACTGCTACAAGGGTTGACTAATGAGTGTTATGTGGCTGTAAAAATCTTTGGAGATAATCAAGGTGCTATCGCTTTGTCTAAGAATCCAGTCTGTAGACAGAGAAGTAAACACAGACATAAAGTATCACTTTATTAGATCTATGTTGAGTGATGGAAAGATAACCATTGAGTATTGTCCAACAACAGACATGGTTGCAGATGTTTTAACAAAGCCTGTAACAAAGGTCAAGATGGATAGGTTCAAAAAATATTTATTTGGAATGTGAATTGATTGTCATAATAGAGAAGGAGTTCACTGTATAAGAGCAAGTGGGGGTGTTAAGTTTTGTTGATTGATTGTGCTCTTACAGCTGTGACTCATTATTGTGATTGCATAAATAAAAAGGGGGTGGTGCTGCCGCAACCATCCTCTGCTACCGGTCCCCACTGAATGCTGTCTACATGGTGTTTGTCCGTTCCTCCGTCAAGTAACTGGTCATTGTTTCTCCTGTCAACAGGCCAAAAGCGTAACGGCAGCTTCAATAGCAGGCTCGTGCACGAGGTGCGCATGCTGTACGTGCACACTCCTTAACGAAAATAACAGCTGATGTGTGTGTGTGTGTGTGTGTGGGGGGGGGGGGGGGGGGGCCCGGAGGACAGAGGACAGGACAACGCACAACTAATTAATAAAATAATTTGGTTCTGTAGCTTTCTCTTCAGCACAGCCGACAAAGGTTTATGATGGGTCAGTCCTCCTGCATGCTCAGATCATTCCCTTCCCTTGCTTGAAAAATTGTTCCAAAATGAAAGTTGAACCCACATCTTTTTTATCTGTGAATTCAATGCCGTTCGGCGAGTCTCAAATAAAAATTTGGGCATCTTACTGTAAAAAAATATACCATTAATGTAAAAAAGAAACAAAATAAATTATGTTCACATCCAGAATCAAACCCACATCTTCCACACGGAGGTCCGCTGTCTTGCTAGGTGTGCTATAGCACCAGTGACCTCTTATGTGATCTGTAATATTTATATTCCTGATGACAGCTGAAACAACGTTCAGAGAACGGTTCGGGGTGAAAATGACTATTTTGTTGCTAATTTGCAGGAAATATCTAGAAGAAAGTAGCTAAGTGTCCTCAGAAATGTAGCTAGGTTCGTCACTAGGCGTTAGGAACAGCGACAAAGTCGCTGAGTTGGCACTGCCTCACTCTCTGCTGCTAAAGCTACGGATAGCAAATGCTACGGGCGATGCCTGAGCGTGAACGCGCATGAAGCAGCCTGCTCGACCCGACTCCGAGTTTCTGGAGATGTTATATTGGTTTCACTGGTAAAAATAAATAATTGAAATGGGTATTTATTTGTTTTTTGTTAAGTTGCCTAATAATTATGCGCAGTAATAGTCACCTGCACACACAGATATCCCCCTAAAATAGCTAAAACTAAAAAACAAACTAAAAACTACTTCCAAAAACATTCAGCTTTGATATTAATGAGTTTTTTGGGTTCATTGAGAACGTGGTTGTTGTTCAACAATAAAATTATTCCTCAAAAATACAACTTGCCTAATAATTCTGCGCTGTATATATATATATCTGCAAAGCAGACAGCAAGTCGCTACAAACGAGTATCTTCACCTTGCAACAATTTTCCATCTTTCCTAAAGCCAGCAGAATGGCAGTCAACTCTGCCGCATACACACTCAGCCCATCAGACGTCGTCCGGGCAAACTGCACACCCGACTCAGGGATAACTACAGCAACCGCAGTTTTTTACAGACAAAGGTTATAAAACAGCCATTGTGGTCCAAGAGGAAGCCAAAGAGAGAGGGCTAGGGAGAGGACAGAGCAGACCAGCCACAGTCCAAACCCCAAGAGTCTCAAAATTCCCCACAGCCAAGTGAGCAGACTCAGTAGTTGAGGGAGCAGAGAGGCTGCAGCATAATGTCTCTGCTGTGGGCTCCTAAGCCAATGTGCGCACTCAGGTTTGTCACTAGTGCACATCCTCGTGGACTCGCAGACACAGCTTGCTCTCTTACAGTGTACAAATGCCCTCTCGCAATGAATATTTCCACCCGAGAGTTATAAATATCTGATCGCGCGTGTCCATGAACGTAGTTTTGATTTTATAAGTGTGGGGGACAAAAACGGCATGAGGTGGGGTGTCTTTACAGAAAGCATACAAAAATATGTATAAAACTACAGCCTAGAGGCTCTTTTATGCAATGCCAAGAATGCAGAACTGTCAAGTACATGTGCCAGTAAAAAAACAATACAATAGTACTTTGAATTCAACTATATTGTTTCCCTTTATAGATATGTAAAAGGAAATACTTTATTGATGTGACTATATATTGACTCTGGTCACACATTTCAAACACGGTAATATTTGATTTCAATGACATACGTGATGTTTTGTCCTCTGTGTGTAAAATATGTGCTAAATGTGTAATTTTGACAAATGATTTACAGCGTTAACTTCACGGTCAAGTGACCACCATGAACGTATATTCTCAAAACTCACAGCTGCTCAGCAAAAACAAAGTCCTCAAGTGTCTAACCCATCCAGACTCTGGAGGAGAACATGAAAACGACACATAAAAACATGTGGAGAACAAGAGCTGAAGTGGACTTCTAGCATTGCCATGGAAACATGTAAACTATGTGTGTTCCAACTAAATAGCGCCAACTACACAGCTTTTTTTAACAGCTCATGGTCTTTATTTTATTTCTGATATCTTTGTAGTCCTTGTAGAAATGAATGAATAATTATTGCTCCGTCTGGATGAAGAACGAGACTCTGTCCTTTCCTTCCATTCTCATTCATCTAGCATCTATTAAAGAGCAAGTCACCCCCAAATTACATTTTTTTTGCTGATAAACTATATAAAGGAGTGTCTAATCATGCTACAGACACGTGTAGTCAATAATTTGGCAGTTCAGTGCATCTTGGTTAAAATTCAAATATTCTGCCTAAAACTGTCAGTGTTGCGCCGTCGTCAGGGAAAAATTCTGCACTGTATTTGAATTTAAATCTGCCACTGCTTTTGGCTAAGAGGTATGCTATGATGTCATCTGGTACATTATGATGTGATAATACCATTGTGAGCCTGTGTGTGTGTGTGTATTTGTTAGTGGCTCTGCCCTCTCGGTCTGCCAAGCAACAGCATTAGTTGTATTTTTCAAAAATGAAGTGGGAGTGAAGTAAGTTTCTTGTAGGGGGTGACTTGCTCTTTAACGGGGTTGCCTATGGACGCGAGTGAGTCTTGATTGCCGATAGGGGATTGAATCATTCTGAGAATCATTTGTGGGGCTGGTGAAACCGGGAGGGGAGCTCTCTGTCAAGCAGGGATTTATCAGGAGATTGCCGATGTTCTAAACTCACATACTGGAATACTCCCCTGGAAGCTGGCAAGCTAAAAAAAATTTGGCACGTCCCTTTGGAGCGATAGCAGAAATGGCCAATCTCAAGTTAGCAAGTATCAGCAGAGCCAATGGATAAGCTTATAGATGGTTCTGGGAAACGGGTTTCAACCGTTTCAACCCCTCCAACTACGTCTACGCGCGTCACGCTCAAGAGCTTTTTTTTTCATGTGCAAGAGCAGAAACCATGTGCATGGGTTTTGAGAGCCATTAAACACCACAAAATCCATCTTCAAATCAGTGATTAGGTGTGGAAATAAATTCATGCTTGCTTGAAACTGATTTTATACAAAAATGCCACTTTTTAAAAAATTCCAGATTCTAAAATATGTTGTTAGAAGTAAAGTGTTCAGCTTTTTATGTCAACCATTTTGTTCTGATAATGTAAAACAGATCAATAAAATGTTATAAACAAAACCCAACAACTGTCATTATTTTTAAGCTGGAAACCGCACGTTTCTCCTCCCATCATCGCCTTGCCTTCCCAACATGGCGGCGTCCGTGCTTGGAACCCGCACCACAGTCCCTGGTCAAGGTTGGCACATGCGCAAAAGCAGCATTTCCGGGTGCGACATGTAACAGGCTCGTGTACGGTGAGGCATCGATACAACATACATAACCAATGATTCCTATTTGCCCCGTTGTCTCCTTCACCTATGGTGAGTATGGTTGGAAGCCTTAATGCTCATTTGTTAACATCGAGTCGTAAAAACCGAGTTCCTGCATTAGTTGTGGAGTTAATGGACCGCTATTAGGTCCTACTGCTAATAGTTAGCTTAGCATCAGCCCGTCTATTTGTGTGTGTGTCTTCTGCAGTGCCCAGCCGGCTCGGTGAAGATGCCAAAATGGCTACCGGCAATTATTTTGGATTTACCCATGGCGCAGCAGCTCAGTACAGGTAAGAGGGGTCTCGGCTGTGTGCTGCTTTAAGGACGGGAATGCTTTGCGGTTCCGCAGCTAATGTCCAGGTGGGGGAGGGGACTTTTGTCGCCTCACTGCAGCAGTTGGATGCGGCTCATATCCGGTCCAGAAAAATGCGCAATTTAAATAAGCAGGCCGCGTTGCATCCCAGTGAACCACATTATCCCACACCATCACATAAAGTCCGTGAACAACCCTAATGACTGTTTCACAAACAACTTCAACGATTTTACCCAGTTTGTCCATATTTTCACCCCTTTAACTGTTACAGGGATAAGTGCTATTGTTAATCCTTTTACAGGTAATAGTTATGTCCACTGGTGCCTATCTCCAGCGGTCAATGGGCAATCAGGCGGGTTACACCCCTGGACAGAGAGCCAGTCCATCGCAGGCAGAAAACACTAAAACACTAAAAATAGAAACTAATAGTAGTATTACTAGTCAAAGTACAGATACCAGCAGGTATTTGTTAATAGTGGTAATGTTATGTAAGGATAACCAACAACTGCACTGATCTGAGACAAACCCAAGTCCCTAAAACAACCTAAACATCAGAAACACTTCAGATATCATACAGACATGGTAATCTCTCACATTTTGGTGAAATTTGCCGTTTTGTATCCGAAACGGGTCACATATGTGATTCGTACAGATCTCGGGTCATTTCAGTTTTTGGGTTTGGTTGGGCTCTACTTTGCTGCTGCTCGCGGGGTGGGTGGACACGGAGGAACTATAACGTAGTTTAGCTGTCGGCCTGTAGAAGTTCCTGCTGAACTTTATTCTGGTTCACGATCCAGGCTGACCTGGGTTTATGTCAGCTAAGCTTTAAAACTTTAAGATGTTTCTTCTTGTTGGCTTGTTTCTTCTCCTCAGAGACACCATGGATCTGAGGAGATGATAAAGTCCCAATTAGGGTTGTCACGGTAACCGGTTTAGCGGTAAACCTCGGTAAAAAAGTAGACAATAAAAATAACCGTCTTGTTTTTAAAAAAATATATTATTTCGGTGGATTACCGTGGCTGCGGTGTAGGCACGGTGACCCTTACCAGCCACCGTTTGGACTTTATTGCAAATATAAAAAGTCTAATATAAAAACAGAGAGCACTTCAACTTAAAATACCTGGCAGGGGTCTATTTTGCCTCGGCCCCCCAAATGCTTAGATACGTCCCTGGGCATGGGACGGAGTTTTGAAGATGATCTGAAATGTATCAACTATATAAATACTACATGCTGATAAATTATGGCTTTATACAGGTACAAACGTGGAGTAGGATCATTGATCAATCTACCTACATTTTAATTTTTTAAGAACTTTTGTTTTGTTTTCTTGGTTTTTATTTTCCTGTCTTCCTGTCCTGTCTGTCTCTGACCTTCCTGTCCTGTCTGTCTCTGATCTTCCTGTCCTGTCTGTCTCTGACCTTCCTGTCCTGTCTGTCTCTGATCTTCCTGTCCCGTCTGTCTCTGAGCTTCCTGTCCTGTCTGTCTCTGACCTTCCTGTCCTGTCTGTCTCTGACCTTCCTGTCCTGTCTGTCTCTGACCTTCCTGTCCTGTCTGTCTCTGATCTTCCTGTCCTGTCTGTCTCTGACCTTCCTGTCCTGTCTGTCTCTGATCTTCCTGTCCTGTCTGTCTCTGACCTTCCTGTCCTGTCTGTCTCTGATCTTCCTGTCCTGTCTGTCTCTGACCTTCCTGTCCTGTCTGTCTCTGACCTTCCTGTCCTGTCTGTCTCTGATCTTCCTGTCCTGTCTGTCTCTGACCTTCCTGTCCTGTCTGTCTCTGATCTTCCTGTCCCGTCTGTCTCTGACCTTCCTGTCCTGTCTGTCTCTGACCTTCCTGTCCTGTCTGTCTCTGACCTTCCTGTCCTGTCTGTCTCTGATCTTCCTGTCCCGTCTGTCTCTGACCTTCCTGTCCTGTCTGTCTCTGACCTTCCTGTCCTGTCTGTCTCTGACCTTCCTGTCCTGTCTGTCTCTGATCTTCCTGTCCTGTCTGTCTCTGACCTTCCTGTCCCGTCTGTCTCTGATCTTCCTGTCCTGTCTGTCTCTGACCTTCCTGTCCTGTCTGTCTCTGACCTTCCTGTCCTGTCTGTCTCTGACCTTCCTGTCCTGTCTGTCTCTGATCTTCCTGTCCTGCCTGTCTCTGATCTTCCTGTCCTGCCTGTCTCTGATCTTCCTGTCCTGTCTGTCTCTGATCTTCCTGTCCTGTCTGTCTCTGACCTTGAAGGTCCCGTCTGTCTCTGATCTTCCTGTCCTGTCTGTCTCTGATCTTCCTGTCCTGTCTGTCTCTGACCTTCCTGTCCTGTCTGACTCTGATCTTCCTGTCCTGTCTGTCTCTGACCTTCCTGTCCTGTCTGTCTCTGATCTTCCTGTCCTGTCTGTCTCTGACCTTCCTGTCCTGTCTGTCTCTGATCTTCCTGTCCTGTCTGTCTCTGATCTTCCTGTCCTGTCTGTCTCTGACCTTCCTGTCCTGTCTGTCTCTGATCTTCCTGTCCTGTCTGTCTCTGACCTTCCTGTCCTGTCTGTCTCTGACCTTCCTGTCCTGTCTGTCTCTGATCTTCCTGCATCTCCCAGTTCTCCAGAAAAACTCCTGCCTGCTTCCTTCTTTTTCACCTCACAAGTAACTTTTTAACCAGCAGATCAAATCGATCTATTGACCGTAAAAAAGCGGTGTGTGCACTGCGCTGCCCGGCTGCGCCAGTGACGAGCGCTGCAGCGCGAGCGCGTCCACACGTCATGCTCAAATACAGACAGAACTGACCAGAGAGAAAATGAACGGACACGAATGACTGTGTGTTAATTATATATATTTTTGGTGACGCCTATTAGAAACTTAGAAAATGTATCGGTCGCCGTGTGCAGAACGCAGCTGGAGTTCATGAATAATCAGCGGTCTGCCTGCCGCTCTGCATCTCTGCTCAAAAGGATCCCCGCTACGCTGAGTCCATATTGACCCTTTGCACCGACGTCACCTAACCCCGTGAGTCCACCATGGTGGACGGCAAAAGCATGTAAACAGTAAGCGACACGATTACTAAACAAAGGGAAAGGTAGAGCCTGAAATTGTTTTTGCGATCAAAACAAAAACAAAACTCCTCCAGCATTCCTTCAACTAGTTCATGCCCAGTTGTTATCAGAAGAAGTCGTGCATCTAGCGGGGCTCATAGAGAGCAGTATGCTAACTAGCTTACCAACGTTAGCTTAGGTTCTCTCTGCAGCCTTAGCTAAAACATCCTGTTAGCCATACAGTTTATGAAAAGTACACAGTAGCGATCGGCGAGGCGTCTACTCTTCTATGTCTATGCTGTTGAGGACAGACCTCTGTAATGAACAAATCTACACTAACTTGAATAAAAGACAATGTTCTTTTCTTTTTGTGATTCACTTTTTATTGAATATTTTTCACTGATAACCAACAAAGGGGTACAAAGCACCGACAATAACAGCATTTTTACTCAAACAATATTAAGGCATTGGAAAATAACGAGCAGAGAGAAACGACCCTAGGAGCTTATAGCTCGGTTTCTGAATACCATGTACCTCAAATATGAAATGTCTGTAATTGCTGCTGACATAGAAGAAAGAGGGGAACAAAGAAGAAAAGATAGAGAAAAAAAACCGGGAACAACTAAAACAAGAATGAATGACAAGTAAATAGAAATAAAAAGAAATAATAGATAAAAAATTGATAAATACATAATTAAGAAAGAATAAATAAAATACAAATAATAGTTTGCTAAATTATGACTCTGAAAGGGGTGTTGCTGGCTTATCTAATATGAACTGTATACCAGGGAGTGAAAGGAGGAGAGGATGATCCCAGTGTTCCCGTTTATTCCCCAAGATTATGACATGGTTGTTCACCCAAGGCCTTAAAGTCCTCTAATTTTATTAAAGTACCGATCCCACTTTGACTGAAGCCTGTCAAGTCTATTATGAAGCTTATATGACAGATGTTCAAATGAGGCTAACATCCCCAGATGATTAAACCATTGGACAAAAGTTGGGGAGGAGGGGCATTTCCACTGCGTGATGATGTCAGTGTGTTTAAGGAGCAAAGAGTAATATTTAGATTCTAAATAAATAAACTTTAAATTTTAAAGTTAAAGTCCCGTTTTTTTCAAAGCCTTTGGTATGACCCGACCAGGAATCGAACCCTGATCTCCCGGTCTCAGGGCGGACACTCTACCACTAGGCCACTGAGTAGAAGCTTCGCGGCCTCCCCCCAAATTTTTCTTGATAAAAGTTAGATGGTTATCAGTTGTGGGGGGTGTCGTGGGGGAGCCAAATGTTTGGAGCAATAGGTGGTGAAGCTGTAGATATTTCCAAAACTGACTGTGTGGCAACTGAAATTGAGCTTTGAGCCTGTCCAATGACTTCAGGAGTCCTCCTTCGTACAGGTCACCAACCACTAGGATTCCTCCCTGGGCCCACTGCCCCCAAAAGAATGGTGCTCTGTTAATAAAACGTTTTGGATTGAGCCATATGGAGGCCTCTGTGTGAAGGTAAGCGTTACATTTTAACAGGGAAGCTACTTTCCTCTAGAGGTGCGAATCTTCACTTGCCTCCCGATTCAATTCGATTACGATTATTGGGTCAACGATTCGATTCGATATCCCGATGCATCACGATTATTTCATATTGATTTGTTTTCATCGATAAATAGAAGACGTCAGATAATTGCTTTTTACTTATTTATTTATTTTTTATCAAAAACGTAATTGATACAACCTGCCATCCCTGAAAAGCTCTCCATTCACAACGGGTTGGGACAAAACATTTTAAACATTTAAGAAGATTTAACAAAGTAAAACATCTGTTTCCTCGTTCAACACCACGCCTCCGGCTGAGAAAACACGCTTTGCAAAATCTCACAAAATCTAATAAAGCACTGAAAACCTACAGGACTCATAATGTAATAATAAAATCCATAATGGGTTCATATGTGAGTGTTTAATGTCTCTGAGCAGCTCTAGAGTCAGATGTTTATGCCGCAGTTGAAGGGCGTCAGAAATAACACCAAATGAAATGTTTGACTTAGTTTATTTTATTTGAACCCAGCGGTTCGTTTCTGAAATGTTGGAGAATGAATCAAGTTCTGTTTGATGCAGAAAATAATAAAACATAAAACAAATTCTACACTTCCAATAATATTTAAGATGTGTGTTTTATTCTTCCTGATGATAACACCAGCAGAAGGCTGTGGGCTGGATTAGGATTAAATTACCCAGCTGATGGATCTCCTTCACTAACCAGCTAACTACAAACCTTTCCACTAACCTGTCCTGTGGGACCCTCACCCTCATGTCCATGCTGTCTCTGGAGGAGCAGATAGGAGACAAGTCCTCCTGTAACCTAAAATTAACCAAAGCTTCCTCCCAGTTCCTCTTTAAGCTGAATGTAACATCAGTTTATCATCATGAAACAAAAGAATAAAGTGGAACAAGAATTTCTATCTTCTATTTCTGTCTCCTTTTAACTTCTCCGTGTCCCTAAATAAAAGAGCCCGACGATCACGCTGCAGCTGCCATCATTGACCCCGCCCCCTCCCCAAGACCGGATCTCCCAGCATCACAACACTCGGTCTGACTGAGCGCTTCCAGGAGAAATGATAATTAAATTATGAAAATAATAACGCGTTTGGAGGAGCCACATCTGGCCCGCGGGCCTTGTGTCTGACTCGTGCTCTAAGCAGTCCAGTAGGTTTGAGACAGATCTTCCTGTCCCCGCTGAAGGGGAAGGTGGATCTGGATCTGGATATTGAACCTTTTCGCTATTCCATTATTCTGAGATACTGAATTTGGGGTTTTCATCAGTTGTCATTTATAATGATTAAAAATAAAGAAATAAACATTAACAGTCTGTGTGTAATGAATGAATCCAATATACACGCTTCACTTTCTGAATAGAATTACTGAAATAAACCAACTTTGTCATGATATTCTAATTTTATGACCAGCACTTGTATTCAAACCAAAAAACTGCTTCAGATTCTAATTTTATGCTAGTTTTGAGATTATCTTTCTAACTAATCTTTTGGGACATGTTGGGGAAATTCTTACCTGATGGTCATCTTTTGCCATTTCTTCTCTTGTGTGTTATTAGCCAGCAACCTGCTGCTGGGGTTGCCTACACTCACCCCACCACGGTGGCCAGTTACACCGTCCACCAGGCGCCTGTAGCAGCTCACACCGTTGCAGCAGCTTATGCTCCAACTGCAGCAGCAGTAGCTGTGGCTCGACCTGCGCCTGTTGCTGTTGCAGCAGCAACCGCTGCAGCTTACGGAGGATATCAACCCACCCACGCTGCCACAGACTATGGTTACCCACAGCGTCAACCTGAGGTGCCCCCACCACCACCACCGGTCACCTCTCAGACCTACCAGGTACTTCATGAGATTTATAGTTCAGGGCTGCTCCAAGACATGACGTGATGTAATCTGTTAGGTTTTTATTGTAGTGTGTGTGTGTACGTGTGTGTGTGTTGGTCAGTGAATTGAAGACTGAAAATATGAGGTAATTTTCTAAAGAGTTTTTTCTGTAATTATTGATGTTTAACATACAAACGATGCAGTAAAAAATGTATGGAGTAGGATTGGGCCATATCATACCTTTCAGGGTAATACCGGTGTAGCTACCGGATCTGCTCGGGCTGCCAGATCGGCTTGGAGTCCTGTTCCTGCAGATGACGTCCCACTACGGCAAATCCAGTCGGCTTTCAGACATAAGTTTGGGAAAGGTTGTAGCAGTTTTGTTAATAAATGATTTTTCTTACCACCTAAATGTTTTCTTTATAACTAAGTTGTTAGTAAAACACCAGCCAATCATCTAGTGTGGCGTCATCAGCAAGTGCAGGGCCCCGAGCCGATCTGGCAGCCCGAGCAGATCCCTTGCCTACACCGGCACAATTTTCAAATTCAATTCAAAGATACTTTATTAATCCCAGAGGGAAATTAGAGTTTCAGTACACACAATTCTGAGATCAGACATACACACATAGACAGGGACACATGACTATGGTGACTGTGGTCATTCGCAACCCGAGTTGCGCTACCTTGATAGAGGTCAGAGGGTTTAATTGTTAATTGTTAATTTATATTCTCACTCGGCAGTTTCATTCATCATTCATGCAAAATACAATCAACAGTCTCCTAAGTGAAAAAAAGGGGAGGAAGAACTCTTGTATGACCTACCCCTTTCTACTTCATACAATATAATTGACAGAATGGCCTTATACACAAACCAAGTATAGAACTTCATTATCTTTGTAAAGAAAATCACAATAAAACGTATCAATATACTCATTTAATATTTACTTATCAATCATAGGATTCTATGATTTTTTTCTTTTTATAGTCTCTTAAATTTACCGCTAGTTAAACATTTTTTCAGGTCATGATCCAGATTATTCCATAATTTTACTCCATATACTGAAATACACATTTGCTTTAATGTTGTTCGTGCAAAAACTCTTTTAAACTCAGGCTTCTTTCTATTTTTTCCATCCTTTGAAATCAAAACAAAAAACTTCTGTAACTTCACTGGCAGTAACTTCTTTTTTGCCCTGAACATAATTAGTAATGTTTTCAAATGAACCAAATCCCTGAATTTCATAATTTTTGATTCAATAAAAAGTCTATTGGTATGTTCTCTAGCATCTACTTTATATATAATTCTCATAGATTTCTTCTGTAATAAAAACAAAGGAATAGTGTTTGTTTTATGTGTTGCCCCAAACCTCTATACAATAAGTCAAGTATGGAACAATAAATAAATAATATAATATATGAAGTGTTGATGACTCCAAAATACTTTTTACTTTATTTAAAAGTCCAATTTTTTACACAGTTTTTGTTTTATGTATTTTATATGGGGTTTCCAATTAAGTTCATGATCCAAGATGACCCCTTAAAATCTCACTTCATTTACTTTTTCAACTGAAGTACCGTCTATGAACAATGTTACAGAATCATCTGTCTTCCTGTTATCAAAAATCATGAATTTTGTTTTATTCCAATTTATAAATAATTTATTGTCCATAAACCACTTCTTAAGTTTAGTCATCTCACAGTCCATATTTTCCAAAGTTATTTGTAAGTTATTCCCAGAACAAAATATATTCGTATAGTCAGCAAACAAAATGAACTGTAATATTTTGGACACATCACACATATCATTAATATACAAATTAAAGAGCTTAGGTCCCAACACAGAACCCTGTAGGACTCCGTATGTAATTATTTGAGAATCTGAAATTTCATCTAACTACAAATTGATTTCTTTTAGTCAGATAACTACTTAAAGAGCAAGTCACTCCAAATCAACATTTTTTTTGCTGATAAACTATATAAATGAGTAGGGATGTAAGAAAATATCGATATGGCAATATATCGTGATTTTTTTCCTGCGATTATTACATCGATTTTCAAAAGCCGTGTATCTAACTCTTTAAATAATTTACATGCAAACATTTGTGTATTTTCTTTTCATTTTGTGCAATTCAATCGCCACCCGCTAGTTGGCAGCAGTGTGCAACGGGTTTTGTTTCCACCATTGAAATGTAAATCCCTCCATCATGGTTCAGATACCTCATGTTAAACATGTTACGTATCAGTTTGGACTGTTTATTGAACATTCTTACAATAAATTCTGTAAAAAAAATTGCTTGTAACGTCTGACTGAATGCATCGCAATATATCGTGATATATCGTATCGTCTCCCCTGTATCGTGATAAACTAAATTCATATTGCCAGAATTTCAAAAATACACATCTCTGTAAATGAGTGTCTGATCGTGCTGTAGACACGTGTAATCAATTCGGCATTATGAACAGACAAATTACAAACATAAGTGGTTTAACAACATAATTGTTTTATTTACTATAGTCATGTCAATCCCATGACAATCAATAGATGTTTTATTTTTACTTTTCTTTACTGTCGTCAATATTTCATTTTCACTTACATCTCCCAAAAAATAGACTGTAGAATTCTACTCCCTCTTGGTATTTTTACATCTTCCTTAATTTTTGTTTCAATAGATTTGGCCAGACTTGGCCCTATGTTTACAAGAAATGAATTAAATTCATTCACCACCTCACTTTAATCCCTCACAACGTTATCTCCTTTAATAAAGTAATCTGGACAATTGGCATGAAAAGACCTAGGTCTTACAATGCTATTCAAGGTTCTCCATGTTCTTTTCATATCACCTTTACTTTCCTTCAACCTTAAATTTATTATAATCTTTTTTTGCTTGCCTTATTGTTGTCAGTTAATTTTTATAAGTCTTATACTTCATTTCTGTGCTTTTAGATCGAAGTCTGACAAAATCTCTATATACCGTATTTTCACGACCATAGGGCGCACCGTGTTATAGGGCGCAGCTTCAGTTTCCGGTGTCTTTTTGGTATTTAACACATACAAAATGCTCACCGGGTTATAGGGCGCGGGCGGGGGCACGGTAAAACGTACCGGTAAAACATCTGTGCGGGCTCGGGACTCGGAACATATCAGTGCAAACCAGACATTGTGAAAATTATAAACAGCCAAAAGCATGCTTCACCTTACTGGTCTAGTCCTGGTTCAGGCCTGGTTTAGAGCGCACGTGCACTTCCTCATTGCGTGTGCTGACGGCTCGTGCTCTTCTAATGGGCTCGACACACGGGAGGCAACTTCGCCTCTCCTCCATTCATTTTTAATGCGACATGGGCGACAAAGCGATAATCGCGGGTCTCTCTCCTACTAGAGCCGGCGTACACCGGGAGTGCTGCAGGAGGACACACAGGGATTTATGGGGGTTGGATGAGGAAAACGAAATAAAGAAAGTAAATCTGTGTTTTGTGATCAGTTTAATTTGACATGAACACGACAAACACGCTTTCTTGACAATCTTTGTGAGTAAAAAAACGTGTAGAAATAAAAACAAACAGCGTGTGTTATTAGGGAAATAGCGGGGGAGCGGTGTTGATGCATGATTGCGCATGCGCCGAGAGCGGTTCTGGTACTTTTTGGGTCGCAGCGCCGCTTCAAGCGCTGATGCGCTGTGTTGAAGTTCATAATGTGTTTACCGGTAGTTGTTGGGTTTAACCACATAAACTTTCCACATGAACAAAATCATATGTGTGTTATTAACAGGCCTAAGAAAATAGTGTGATTTAAATTGTGTTTTATTAACCCTCTGGGGTCCATGGACGCGTATACGCGTCTTTTGAACAGGTCTGATTTGGGATGCTGTAGCAGCAAGACTCCGCCTCCCTGAGTTTTGGTTTCAATTCAGCTTTAAAAAGGAGATTATAAACTACACCCCAGTTTTTCAATTTGGTAATAGGCAACGTAAAAGCGGAGTTGTGGGCTCGACACACGGGAGGCGACAAACGACCGCGATCAGCGAAATTTGTCACTGTCGCTTTTATTACCTGACACACGAGAGGCGATCCGCGGCAGCGCGCATGTCTCATTGTAAATGAATGGAGGAGAGGCGATGTCGCCTCCCGTGTGTCGAGCCCATTATACTAAACAAAAAAAACGACCCTATTTTTAGACAATCTGATAACTTGTCAAAACAGCAGTTTAGTAATCCGTGAGAGGGAATGTGCTTGTGAACATAAAAAACCCACAAAAACATGAGATCCTTTTGCTGTTGGTGGAAGTCTCACATATTCAATTGATAAAAACTATCATCATGTAGCTGAGAGAGAGAGGAAGGCCGCACGAGTAACGAGATGTGCGCAAAAAGGAGCCGCTTTGTAGGGAAAGGAGTGGCGCGAACGGAGTAACAACAAACAATTAGACAGATATAGACGGTAAACTTCATATTTTGGAGCGATCCGGACAGATAAATTGTCTCTGCAGTTTAGTAGGCTTTTATTAAGCTTTAATAAAGGATGATGAGAAGGATAAATGTCCACCAGGCAGTTCAGATAGTACGGCTGTTTTTTGAACTGGAAGCAGAGGAAGTGGACAGAGACTCACAGCCGGAGTCTGAGGCAAATGGCGAGGATGTTGATGACGATGTGGCAGATCCACAGGTCTGTCTTCGCTCACGTCCGCACGTTCACGCCACGCCCCTTGTCTTCTACTACGTTCGCGTCTCACAACAACACAATAGGCGCACCGCACCATAGGGCGCAGCGTACATTTTGGAGAAAATTAAAGACTTTTAGGTGCGCCTTATGGTCGTGAAAATACGGTAATTTATTTTTTTTCCTACAGGATTTTAGTAGTCCCTTAGTTAACCAAGGTTTTACATCAACATTATTCATTTTTTTACATGTCAGTATTGGGCAATTCTTATCATAAAGGGTTGTATGTGTTTTTAAAAATGTATCATATGCTATGTTCACATCCTTAACATAAACCCCACTCCAGTTTTCCTTTAACAGGT